TGTTTTCAGCAAAAAAAATAATAAAACCGTGAAATTTAGTTTAATATTCAGTGAGTTAAAGTTGATTAAAATTCATTCTGTTCCTGCTCAACATATTACACTGAGTGGAGCTGTCAACCTCCCCAAGATGGTTTCAACAAATCACGTACGCTCACATAGCCGAAATCTGTCGATGTGGGGTTTACTCTTATATTACGTCTATGATTAGAACTGTCAAACCTTGAGGTTTAGTAAACTGTTCAGTAGATTGGTTGGTAGCACTGGTCCTTTGCTGCATGGAGGTCCTGGTTAAAGTTAGGCCTGAAACAATTAGACTTAGACAACTTTCATTGTCATTTTGTGGGGGGGGCTCTCCTCTTCCTCCACAGGAAGTACATGCGTATTTGTGCCCTTTTGACCAGTGAGGTGGTGTTTTCAATCCAGGTGAGGGTGTCTGTGATGTGCACCCCTAGGAATTTAGTGCTGCTTACCACCTCTACTGCTGAGCTGTTGATGAGCAGTGGAGCGTGGTTAGGCCGGTTCTTTCTGAAGTTGACGAGGATCTCCTTGATCTCCACGTTCAGGATCAGGCTGTCATCTCTGCCCCATTCCAACAGCAGCTCTACCTCCTCTCTGCAGTCCTGGTCATTGTCGTCTCTGATGAGGCCCACCATCGTAGTGTTGTCTGCAAACTTCACAATGTGACTGGTGGTAAACCTGGGGACACAGTCATGTGTCAGCGGGGTGATCAGCCAGAGTGAACCCTGAGCTTAGACTGATGACATCAGAGGTTTTCTGTCCGACCCAGGCTGACTGAGGTCTGTTGCTGAGGAAGTCTAGCAGCCAATGCAGGGGTTAGAATTGAAGCCCAGCTGTTCCAGTTTCCCTATGAGATGCTGTGGGATGATGGTGTTGAAAGCTGAACTGAAGTCCAGGAAAAGAATCCGCTCGTGGGTGTTCTTTTCCTCCAGGTGTACCAGGCTCAGGTGAAGAGCAAAGGACAAGGGCGTCTTCAGTGGAGTGGTTTCATCGGTAGGGGAACTGGAATGGGCCGAATGTTGTGGGTACACTGGAGATGATGTGTTCTTTAATCAGCCTTTCGAAGCACTTCATCATGATATGAGTAGCGCGACAAACCAGTAATCATAGAGTGAGGTGACCTGAAGTTTCTTTGGTACTGGAATGATGCTGGCATAGTGGCACCATAGATTGGTCCAGCGAAGTATTAAAAATTTTGTGAGGACACCAGCCAGCTGACCTGTGCACTCCTTGTAGACCCGCCCAGGTATGTTATCGGGGCCTGGGGCCTTTCTTGGGTTGACTCTCCTCAGAGTTTCCCTCACTTCAGCTACGTCCAGGTTTAGTGTCTCCTCCCCCTGGTGTGGAACGGTGTTAGAAATATTTTATTTATACTCCGTTTGTGTTTCATGGGTTGTGTTCTAATGAACTATTATGATGTATAATGTGTGATTCATCTTTTATTAACTCTTGCTTAAGATTATTCCAGATAAAGGTCATGCAACGGACGGGTTGTGAAGGAGGCCTAAACATCCTCTATCACATGCTGGGTTGTAAAAGAGACCTGAACAGCCTCTATCCCATGTTTCTTCTAAACATGTGTTCTTGGAACAATTCAATTGTAAAACAACCACATGCTTTGTTTTAACATATGTGCTGAGGTTTAAAGTAAGATCCTTTTGTTTCCCTTTCCTTTTAGGTAAACCTCAGGTGGTGTAATTAGGGACATCCCCTTTTCTTCAATAAATAGCAAGGAGAAAGCTGAAGACTGCAGACTGGGGTGGATATTGTAAACTCTGCAGTCACCTTCCTATTCTCCTCGCGAGTAACTAAATTAATGTCTCTGTGCCTTCTTTCTTTCCCTGTATATATGTATGATGTTTTAGGTGCTTAGACCTGACAGAACGGCTTTCACTGCTGGAGTGCTCAAACCTTCCAAAGAAGTTGTTTAGTTCATTGAGGAAGTCAGCATTTGCTGGATCTACAGGGGATGAGGGTGTGTTGTTGTCTGTGATCACTATGCCTCGCCACATCCTCCTGGTGTTGCTGGCATCATTGGATCTTCTGGCTGTGGTTCTGCTTTGCTGATCTGGTGGCACGGTTTAAGTTGGCACATGCTGTTCTCAGTGCCTCTTTATTACCAGACTTGACAGCTGGGTTCCGTGCTTTTAGCAATTGCCGAACCTCCCCATTCACCCAGGGTTGTTGGTTGGCCCGGGTGGTGATGTTCTTTTTGATGCTGACGTCTTCAATGCATTTGTTGATGTAGACTGACACAGTCATGGTTTCTGCAGCTTTGAACATGTTCCAGTGGCCCCCTCTGACCACACTCTGACTTCCTTAAGTGTTGGTTTAGCCCTGATTAGCTAGGGGCTAAATGAGGGGAACAGGAAGAAGTAGAAAATAAGAAAATATCATATCCAGGTTACGTTTTGGTCATACAGGCTTAAACAGTACATTATTTATTATGGGAAGACATCCATCAGGAAATTGTGAATTTTGTTTTCAAGAAGAGACAGTAGAACATGTTTTGTTGTTATGTCCAAAGTACTCTGAGGAGACAAGGAAATTAGAATATCGACTTCTAAAGAATAAGTTACAGTTAAAAATATCAGATATGTTGGGATATTGCTCTTCTACTGAATATTTACGTTATTTAATAAGCTTTCTTAAGAAAACTAAACTGATAGAAAGAATTTAGTTGTTTTTTTTTAAGTTGCGTTCTGATCCACACTCCTTACCAATAGGTGACGGTAATGCACACCAATAAGTTGCTTGTCAACTGCCATTAAAACAAGAAACAACAACAAAAACAACATTAGCTAGGGGCTGTGTGCAGGAATTAGCATGACAGAAAGGTGATCTGATGACCTGAGGTGGGGGCGGGGAGATGCTCTGAATGCATCTTTGATGTTAGAGTAGGCTAAATCTAAAATGTTTTGACCCTGAGTTGTTAAGTCCACATGTTGGTAAAAATGAGGAAGCAAGTCTTTAAGTCAGCATGGTTAAAATCCCTAGCAATGATGAAAACGCACTCTGTGTGTTTGAAGCTAAGAGATAGCCTGGTATAGAGTGTTTTGTATTAGCGCTGAGGGCACGTAAACAGCAGTAATGCTAACCACACTAAACTCTCTGGGCAGATAGAATAGTCTGGAGGTAACAGTCAGAAACTATGTCTGGAGAGCAGAAGCTGGTGACAGATCTTGCATTTGTACACCCGCTGTAGTTGATTTAGACACTGGGGTTAATTGGATTGATCCTGATTAATTGGTTAATGAAATAATCGTCAACTTATTTAGTAGTCGATTAATCGTTAAATGGAATATAGACTGTAAAAACGTGCCTTTAGCTGACAGAGCAACCAACTTAGAGCAGTAATTACATCAAAAAAATATAAAAAACATTTTGCATTTAAGGTAAAAAATATTTTCATCTGTCAATATGCTCTATTCAGAAGTCTTAAAGTGGAAAGGTTTTAGTTTCATCTGATTTAATTCCTTAAAGGAATAGTACACCCAAAACATGATTAGCCTTCATTTTCTACTCACCCCCATGCTGAACAACACTCTGGAGTACTTTTTTGATATCTCAAATGCATCTGGAGATCTGGGAGGCTTCTTACTGTCTGCTGACATTCAAATAATGGAGGTCTATGGTGCCCGAGGCAGAAAGGTCCATAAAAGTCCACAAAAAACGTGTCAATATTCCTCCATACTGCTCGTCCAATGTATTCCAAGTGTCCTGAGTGGGTAGCGTCCATAATTTACTCGAAACGAAGTCATTTAGAATGTTTTTAGAGCATAAACAGTAGTGTATAGGATTTCCTAAAAGCGCGCCCCTGCGAGTTCACGAGCTTACGGAAACCGCAGCAGACCAAACCAGATGAAAGTGCGCATTCAGCTCGGCAAAGAACTCATGCTCTTCCTCAACACTGAAGTCCTCAGACATTTTTCTTTCGTTGTTTCTTTTTTTGCACAGGTAAACAGCAAATTTCTTCTTTCACGCTTGCTTTATCGGCAGAGCAGACGCTGAATGCGCACTTTCATCTGGCTTGGTCTGCCGCAGTTTCCATAGGCTCGTGAACTCGCAGGCGCGCGCTTTTAGGAAATCCTATACACTACTGTTTATGCTCTAAAAACATTCTAAATGACTTCGTTTCGAGTAAATTCTGGATGCTACCCACTCAGGACACTTGGATTACATTGGACGAGCAGTATGGAGGAATATTGACACGTTTTTTGTGGACTTTTATGGACCTTTCTGTCTCGGTCACCATAGACCTCCATTATTTGAATGTCAGCAGACAGCAAGAAGCCTCCCAGATCTCCAGATGCATTTGAGATATCAAAAAAGTACTCCAGAGTGTTGTTCAGCATGGGGGTGAGTAGAAAATGAAGGCTAATCATGTTTTGGGTGTACCATTCCTTTAAACAAATCTTCTTTAAGCAACCTTTGGCTATCTGATTATTAATTGATTAATCAAAAACATAATAAACAGATTAATCGATTTGCAAAATCATCGTTAGTTGCAGCCCTAATTAAAATACAGGCCCGGGATTTTTTTCATATGAATAGTATGCTTTTTCTGTGCCTATTTGGATTCTCTCTCAGGGTACTTTGGATTCCTCTCAAGCTTTAAAAACACAAATGTAAGGTTATTTGGTCTCTCTAATTAGCCCACAAAAGTGTATGCAAGCATGGTTGTTTATAATGTGTATCTCTGTAACCCATTGATGTTACCCACCTGTTGTGTGTTTATGACTGCTGGAGATAGAAGCCAGCCTCACCTGTAATCCTACAATGATAGGTGAGTATAAAAGAGGGATAACTCATGATCACCAAAACAGTATTGGACACAATGTAACATGTGTTGATCTTTGTACATTGTTGGAGTGCAGCTAGAGCAGAATCGCCAAGTTTAATGTCTCAGTCTCTGAAAAATAGCAGCCATGAGTCCATCACTGACATTGTGTTAGTCATTTGCCTATTAAGACAGAGTCTACTGCACATTCCTTTGTAGAAAAAAACTTTATTCTTAGACAAATAAAGGCAAAAATGTATGAAACAAGACATTCAAAATGCTCAAAAGAGATATGATTCGTTTTTAAATTTGGTTTGTGAAATGTTTTTAATATGGTTTCTATTGATCTCTATTAGCTGAGTGAAGAAGAATAGAAATGCTTAGAAAATAATTGGAATTTACATGAAAATACTTTAAATTGTAAGGTTAAAAGCAAAGAATGATAAAATATGTATCACTTTAGAATTCAAAATAAAAATATTTTTACTATGTACATATAGCAAATTAAATATGAAATGCAATTGTTAACTCATGACTCATAATGTAAACACGTCCTCTTCCGTGGCGGGAACAGCTCATCAGGCCAGAATCTGGTTTGGTTTAAAATTGTCCTTAGTGTCAACGGAGGTCAGGCCATCTCACTGCTGGCTGAGGGAGGAGAACTGTTTTCTGCCTCGTGAATATGTTCTGTAGACTTGATGACCTCAGGGTCTCTTGGACTCGCAGCCATGTCCTCACTGTTGCAGTTAATGGGGGAGCCAATTTCTGGTGAGCGGTCCCCGGGCTTTTCTGATGTGCCCTGCAGTGGAGTGCCGGGGAGAGGTATGTTCAGCATGTACATCATGTTCCCCAGCCTTCTGGATACCTGCAAAGAGACGTATGTTAGATACAGAGTGAGTTTTTTGTTTTTACCAAATTGGTTAATAGAACTAATATATTTTTGAAACTAACCCCCATACATATTTCTTAGAATAATAATTTTTGTGAGTCAGTAACCTAAGACAGCATTTTTTCCACTGCAACAAACTCCCTTAACGTCCTCCTCACTGTGTGCTGTCAAAGATAAACCTGCTTCATTTTCTTCTCTTTTTAACCACAGTTCCAGTTATTTTAGTCTTTTAAATCATTGCTTGGATGATAGATATAGTGCAACTAGTTTTTGTGTTACCATGACTCATGGAGATCAACAAATGCTTTTAATGAAGGGTTATTTAGCTGCGGAAATAAAACGTGTTTAAACTTTTCCTTATCTTTCTCATTCCATCCTAAAGTTGCTAAGAAAAATGAGTCAGAGCTTCCTCTAGTATTTCTGCTCCAGGTGATCTTAAGGTAATCGCTTTCTGAAAAGTGAAATCATGATCCGGAATCAGTTTCTGGCTCAATTAAGGCAACATTTTAACGCACTAAAATTAAGCTAGTCACTGTGCTTTCCTACATTTGTCCTGACAGTCAGTCTGACCTATGAAGTAAGATCAATAAAGAATAAATAATCTCAATAGCATAGGCAAAAAAGAGAAATATTCTGATGTATTACTACTGCACTAAAAGTATTAATATTATGTTTTTGCAGCCTAACTAGAAAGCTAGTGATTGTTGCATTTCTCTTGCTTATGAAACTACCACACAGCAGAAACAGGCTCTAGGTTTCATTTCATTTTAAAGGGGTAAATATAAAATAAGAGTGGACTGATTTAGGTAGTATGGGTACATTTACTTTTTTTGATAAAATCTATGATTGCAGGGAGCCATTTGGAATGACCTTCAAGAAGACAGTTTGAAAGGTAAATCATTACATCTGAGGTGTATAAAATGTGTCTGTACGCTATTTGATCTGACTATGTTTCACAGCAGTGGATGTAGGATTTACAAATCACACCCAGAATCAGTCTGATGAACTCTTCTATGCCAATCAAATTACAACTGAAGTATAATGTATTCGTATAATACAGCCCATCAAAAGCAGATCGACTTTCATTAAACCTATGCTTAGTATATGCATATGCCCACCAAATTAGGGTTTGTTGCTTGCCCTTCCTTTTAACGGAAGAATCCTTTACTTTAAAATAGTCTAGTAGTTCTATAGCTTTTTTTTTTCATTTTGTCTAGTTTTGCAGATGACAAATTAATTTATATGGCAAAAAATATCCAGGCTTTTTCTCAAGCATTTATTTTATCGAGATCCTTTTTCGCTGTCTAATTACCTGTGAGCGTATTTTCAGAGCTGGGCCTAGCTTGAGCCCTAGTGTGTCCAGTAGATGCTCCTCTGAAAGAAGTGGAAGAGTTTCTCCATCAATCATGTGGTCCTTGAACGTCTGGAGAAATAATTTTAAGTCAGAATTAAGTTATAAAGAAAAGAAAGAGAGAAAACATTTATAGAAATGGTTCCCATGACCAACCTGAGCATACTCTGAGCATGTCGGTATACTGCTAATGAAGTTGTAAACATCGTTCACTGTCCACTTCCTTAAGTCCTCTGGAACTTCCTCACCATTCAGAAAGAGGTTTGGTGGGCCTGGAAAACAGATACTGAATCTAAGTATAATAGATCTAAACAAATAGATTGCAACTACGTCTATTTCCCAGACTTACCACTTGGAAGAAAACCATTTCCTTGGACAGGGAACACATAAGGCATCCCTGTGAGAGCTCCACCGGTGGAGGGATAGATGAATTTTTCCTGGAAAGCCGAACACTGACTGGGTATGTCTTTATCATTGGAAGCACCGTTGGTAATATCTGAACATCCATCCTGAGTGGTAGCGCAAGTCTTACGCAGGCCCGCCTCCCCCTCTTTGTAGCTCTTCCTTCTTCCTATGGCCAGCTCAGGGTCTGTTTTCACCTGATGGTGTGTCTTACTCGTGCCACACTCCTCGCCCACATCCCCCTTTGCTTCTAACTCTTTCTCCTCTCCTGATGTCGCCTCTGGACTCTGCTCTACACTTTTGTCCTCAGTTTGACCCTTCAGGTTGGGCACCTGGTTCTCTGTACTCTTATGTACAGTAGGCCTTCGCCCAGCCCTACGACCTCTCTCTCTGTGCAGCGAGCTGATTGGTGGATAGGGGTTGGATGACATGAGTATGCTGTTGGAATGAAGCTCATCTAGGGAGGGACGGTGGACAAAGACCTCATGGCCGTCTGGCATGCGCTGGCGGCCCCTAAAGAGCATGGGGTTGGAAGGGTACGACATGGGATTCTCTATTCCCATCAGTCCTTTTTGGTGAGCATTCTCAAGCTCTTTCTGGTGCATGATGGCGTTCATCTCCATCCTGAAAATCAGTTAACACAAACATGTCATGCATTAGTAAAAACTATATTTCTGCTTAAAGAACTGAATTAAAACTTTGCTTTTATAAACACATAGCGGTGCAGCCTGATAGCAGGTTAAAATTTTTTTTCAGGTGCCGATAGTTTTGCTCCTGCAATACCTTGCTATATTTTGCTTGTGAAGGAGCTCCTGTCGCCTGGCAACGTTTTCCATTGGTTCTGAGGGCAGGAAGCCATACCCTCCTGAGAAGAAGAAAGAATATGAAAATAGAGAACAGGATGTTAAAGGTCAAACCAAAGCCTGAAGTTGTGTTAGTTGGGAAGCTGTGCTCACCTGGTCCTGGGAATGCTCTGCCAGGCAGGACATTGGCATGTGGTGGAAGGGGTGGACCGAGGTGATGTCCCATGTGAATCTGCCTTGCTTCGGATGTTACCATCTCTGCAGGAGGAACCAACTCCCTAATGAGATAAAAGTAGCAGGATGAGATGGTAGGCAGCGATACATTTGCAGCTAATTTAACAGCTTGTTGACAATTATTGCTAAGATATATTTTGGCCTTCGTGTGTTATATCTTTCTGTTAGTTTCATGATGCTGACATATTCCGGAAGTCATTCAAATATTAATGTGTTTCAAGGTTTCAGAAATGTTTAAAAGTTGGAAGATGCATTTCATTTAAAATATAATCCTAAATAAACGTGGGTAGTAATGGGAATGGTTGTCTTAAAAAAGATCCTAACACATTATTAGCAGAACATAAGGAAAGGAGCTGTGGAAAAAAACAAAGTAATGTTCATCGGTAGAAACTCAAGGGGAAAACGACAAACGTGATTACTGTAACCATGGCCACATTTGCTGCATTTTATTTTATTTCTTTAGAATGTGTTACTTGGATCTAAGAATAAAATCACAGGGACTTTTACAAAATTTTACCTGCACGTTAGAAATCCAATGGGATTTGCTCACTTTAATCACTAACCTAGCCATACAAGCTTAAATAAAGCATATATCTGCATGTGTATTGTATTCATTCTGATACTAAAGTAAAGAGCTCACTAAATTGTCTGAGGTGCAGCTGTCACTACTGTTCAAACAGCAGCAGCCATATTGGATTCAGAGGCAGTGGTTGGAACTCACCCTTACAGAGTCCAGAAACCTTGAGAATCCTGATTTTTATATTGTGGAATATTGGTATATATGTATATTTATACATATAGGGAAAATAAGTATTCTGGTGGTGAATGAATGCTTTATTTTGTGGATAAATTTAGGTACAGACCTTTCCATAAAGCGATGTTCAAACTGTGTTGGGACCCCCTGTAACCTCTGTTGGCCCTGGGCGAGGATCTGTGGAGCCATGGCCATCTGGTTCCTCATTATCAGCTCCTGCCTCTGCCTTAGCTCTGTGAGAGCACAGAAAATACCAGTAAGAATGATCTGTAATGTTACTGTAAATGCTTTGCAGGAAGCTGCAATCTACAAAAATCAGCAAATAATACTTGATGCAGAGCCATAAAGGTGTTTTGGCATAAAGTCCAGCTTTGGATGCTCACCTCCAGCCGACATGCCGTTGACCAATCGGTACCAGTGCTTCTCATCTAAAGTCCCCTGGTCACTCAGTGCTGTCATCTTCCTCAGCTGCTCCCGTGGAGTCATCACAGCACACCACCTTCAATCCAAAGTAGTGCTGCTCAAAACAGAATCAAATATATGGTTTTATTTTATTTTAAAGAAATGTGACCAGAACTTCCCAGTTATGAGGTGTAATGTGGATTGACCTTCTGATTTACCTAAAAGTTTCACTTCAAATGAAATTATTTTTTCAATATGTACAGTATAGCTTGGTTACATTTTCCCTGCTTGGATTTGCAGGTGATAAAATTGTACACTCTTCTTCTCACCACTAGAGGGTAGCAGTTATCCTTTTTAGATATGAGCACATCTGCAAATAGAGCAAGTTTACCCTGCAAGAGTTTTTTCAAACTTGCTTTTAGGGTGTTGTGCAACATTTTAACCTCTGTTCTCACCTTTACAACTAAGTAACAATTCTAAATCCCCCTTGGCTGTCACCTTCATCACAAAATTAATCTGTAAATCCAAATCCTTTACTTATGCAAAGGCCAGCAAGTATTCTCTCTTGTTAATGATTGTGTCCTACTGATATCCTAACAAATACATTTAGTTAAGATTTAAGTAAATGAACAAAGCCATAGACAAGCTTTAAATTTTCACATTGTTTTTGGCTCTGTGAACAGCTTGCAAAAATAAATTAGCCTCCTCTTATTAACCTACTGCATTGCCCAAATCCCATTACTAAATATGATACTGTAAACGACTCAGTAATCTAGTGCTACTAATCCAGGACAAGCCTGCGATATGCATCTGGATACATGAATATGAACCATTCTGTCATTGGCCACCCCTTCAAATGAATCCTCTTAGGCTGATTAAAGTAGCATTTGATTGATATGTTTGTCATTGTAGGAGGCATGTGTTAATGGTGCACTTTTATTATTCCTGATGTACCGTTCCTTCCAGACAAATGCTGCCACTAAAAATGCCCTGGGGCATCGTGCATTATCCTCAGTCCCTCAAGTTCCCTCTAAAAGCCATGTAATCTGAGGGCTGTAATCCTCGTGTTAGTCCTGCAACAGTCTGCTGCCTACATCTGCTGACCTTCCTGGTCCATCCCAACACCCCCCCTCCTTACCATCTTCCCAGGCCCCTGCTACCCTTAGGATCCTATTAGCTAAGTCCTGGCTATACAGCACTTTAAAGGGATGTGTTAGAGGTAATCCGCACGTTTAGAGTTTTACCCTCAGCAAACCTTGCCAGTAAGCATCCCGGACAATACACCTCTAAGTGCTAAGCCTATTAGTCTCCATTAGCTCCCAGGATGTCCCAAAAACACCTTGGGGATAAATCTGGGGAAGCAATCGGTTTATGTGGAGCTATGTGGCGCACACATACGCACCATCCAGCTCTTTCCTTATCCTTTTCAAAACCACTAATATTATCGAATCAAATTAGATACATTTTTTTTCTTTCCTGCTTATCCTGAAACAGGAGTGGGAACCACAGAGTAGGTCCCAAGCTTTAGGTGTAATTTTGTTAAATAAAAGGCAAAAAATTCTTCCTTTCTTCTGATATGTGAATTGTCTTGTGCAGAAAGACAATCCACATATCGACGTAACATAATTTTAGTAAAACTTGTAAGTAACCTAATATGGAGTAATGTAAATTTCCTGCTGTACCTTAAACATAACAAAGTTTTAAATTTCCAAATATAAAAGGAAAAAAAAGGCTTAAGAACTAAAACAATTTTAGGAGTCTTTTTTGTTTTTTATATCCCTTGGTAATGTTTGACATTATTACCTAAAAACCTCGAAATTAAGAGAACAAATATAATGTAATTTTGATGAACTAGAGAGAGAGTATAATTACAGGAAGAATCTAAATGCCCAGATGTAAAGTGATTAAGCAAACATGATAACTATATGCATTTTAATAAATGTTATGAAAGTATTGAACAACTCAGTGTTTAATAAAAGCAATGTACAAGCATGAGGTGGTTTAGGAAAGGCTGAAACTGGTTTAATTTAAAGGATAATAAGATGGAGGAAAGGTGTTAAACATCAATCGATGTTCTTGCTCACTGTAGATTTTTTTTTCTTTCTCAGTGTCCTGTCTGACAATTTGGCAATAAGAATATTTGTGTTGATGCCAAAAAGAGCCCAACAGATTTTGCTTTAACAAGTGGAGCAGTCCGGCTTTCACCACAGTGTTGCGCTTGATTTATGCATGTAAATATCTTATTTATAATCAATGCAGTGAGTATTTCAAATTATATGGACACTGCAATGGGAAAGTAGAGCAGGAAAGAAAAAACAGGAAAAAGGAGAAAAGATGAAAGAAAGAGGAGATAAAAGGGAGAGAATAATAAATGTTCTACTGTCTGCTTCGTCATATGCAAAGAGATGTAAAAAGAACAGCACAACCAATGGATATATGTAGTATAAGAGGTACAGTAAAGTAACACCTTCATACCATTGCTTAAGAATATGTAGTATCATTTAATCTGACATGTATAATGTGGTAGCTGAAGATAAAAATAGAGGCTTTCTGTATGGAAATGAATCTCTAAGTACCTGGAACCAAGCACCTGTAGTTGTTTCTGAGAGTACACTTGTGCATGTAAAGTTTATCCAAAGGAAAAATGCTCAATAGTGGTTGTGAAGAGCCAAAGACCCGCCCCTCCAGAGCACGTAGACAAGCGCCTGGGGACCCAAAACCCCAGATGCCCAAAGGGACCCCCAGAGCAAAAAGGTCCAAGAGGGGCCAACACAGGAAATCTGCCACCCCACCACAGGATGAGGAGAGACGGCCCTGAGCAAATCCCCCGGCCACCGCAATGCCGATCGCAGTTTGGTCACTGTAGATAAGTATGTAGATATTTTTCCAATGGTTATGTTTATTTCAGTAATGTGTAAAAATGACATGAATAAAGATGAGTATAGGTATGCTTGATTGTGTTTATGTTTATGCGTGCATACATTTTTTTTTTCTCCCTTATTGGACTTTTGGGATAGTTTTGATTTGTAAATAAAGTAGGAATAGGCTTGATTATTGGTTTTAAGGACTAGAGAAAGGAGAAGACGTTTTATTAAAGAACTTCACTTCTTTATACACCTTTTCAAACATGATCACTAAATTATAAATGTAATATAATTATATATTATGGGTTACACATAATATTTGTATGTATTATTATTATGAATCTCATTGAACTGTCTGAAATAAATTCCTTTATTAATCATATATATGTATTGTTTAAGTTAAAAGTAATCATCCCTTTATCTATCCAGTCTATTGTAACACATAACACATGTGAAATCATGACAATAGGTAAGGTTTGTTAAATCTTTGATTTACGGAAAAATAAATACTTAGATTTCTAAACAAAGCTAAACAGATGTCAAAATGTGTTGTAAGATAATTAAGCTCTGTTTTGAAGGTTCCAGCTGGAAGTGTGATTGATTACATTCTTCTTTGTTTTGAGGTAAAAATAAATGGAGTCCAGTCTCTAGTAAAAAACTGTTTATCTATCTAATACATAAATCAAATAATAAATATGCAATTTAGTTATAAACTGCACAACTGAATAGTTAAATTTCCTATAATATAATCAAAATAGCATTTAATGTAATGGAATATATAGAGAAAATATATGTATTTAAAAATGAATATAATTACTTGAAATATGTATTTTTTGGGGGGTCGCCAGTCTGCATCACTGTTTTTGAGTTTTATAGTTAGATATTCTTTAAAATTAACGATACAGAAATATTTTATCTTTAAATATTTTTACCTGCTCAGCAATAAATGGGACACGCAATAGTTTTAATAAATTGAAAAAACTAGCCTGTTTTTTTAATCATAAAGCAAAGACATAAAGGGTAGTTTGAATTTAGCTCATTAAAAGGACATAAAACTTAAAAACTTTTCAGCTTGATTGAGTTCTATTTTCATGATCTTGCAAAAATGTTTTTCTTAAGAAGATGGATTGTGTCCGAGTGTCCACCCTAACCCCTAAAACCCTGAATCACTATAGAGAGCAGGGACTATATAGTGGATTTTATAGTGAACTCAGTTAAATGATCGTTCAGACAGATGATCAGTACTTGTCGCTCCCTCTTGGTCATGTAACTCTGCCTCCCCGCGTGGTGCCAGCGCCATCTTTGTTCTTCCCCGCGCCACAGCAAATTCCATGATGCTTTACAAGGAGAGCTCTTGCAAAGCATTCTTGGATATATCTGCTCATCTAGTGACCGTGGATGATCACTACTTTTAAAGGCGCATTTGTTCGAAATGTCAAATCCATTAGTTTTTCATCCACTGGTGAGACACTCATCTAAAATGGCTTAATCACTATATAGTACACTATATATAAAGCCATGATGCTGAGGATCAAATGTCAATAGTGTAAGCAGGAGTGACTCACCTCTGATATCACTCTGAGTCGGCCAAGTTCACTGGCCAACTCAGACAACTTGCGGCCTACGATTCAGAAAAGCTTAATGTAGTGTCATGTGTTATATGAAACTTAACTAATAATAATTGATTGGTTTTAATGTTGATTTGAATGACCTAGTGATTAGATATAACTGGCAGTTCTAGTTATTTAATATATTCATAATCTTCTGGTAAAATTGTACAACAGATGAGCTCAGATCTTGCCCAAATGAAACAGCATCCAAAGTTGGATTCTGCTGGTGCGAAAAATTTGATATTTTTAATGTTTTTTTGTTCTTTTTTAAGTCTTCCCAAAGATTCCTACATTCGCTGCATTTATGATATTGAAAATGCACTAAAAAAAACAAAAAAAACAAACAAACAAAGAAATGCTGCACAGAAAATGCTGAATTAGAATTTAGATTCAGGTTATTACCAGTTGATTTTTTTGTAACCATTGTCTAAATGTTAAACAAATATCACCATACTTAGCTAAACACCTAACATCCCCTTTAGTGACCAAATGTGCTAAATTAATTGACAACTATACAATCTAGGATCAATTATGCTGATTTGTAATTTTCTAAAACTGCATTTCTGTATTGACGCAACATTGAACACTGAACAGAACTAGCTCCAGGTTATGGTATCACTTTGCAGCTAAATGGCTAAAACTACCCCCCAAACACCAGACGTCATTTAGAAATAGTTTTTTAGGCTAAATCTGGTCAGGCTATCATAGTCTTTATTTAGGGCAGAAATACTTTTTGAAAATTGGGCTGTGTTTGGTCAGTCTGATTTTGTCCCACTTTAGTTCAATAAAAAAGATTAATTCAACGCCGTTCAACGATCTGAAAATTACAGCTTTTCACCTTTCGCATTTCAACCAAATGTAGACGTTTGGACATTAATCATGTCGTATTTTCAATGTCTTTTCAACCAATTTTTGCTCATGGGTAGCACAGCTAAATAAACTCCTCATGGTATCCTTAGGTCTAATATAGTTGTTTTTTTTCTCATTAGTCTAATACTTGTTCTCTTGACTTTATGTCCAATTGTTTGGTCAAGTGTAAACACTGAACAGCTAATCTTAGCTTGTCCTAACCTTCAGTGGGCTAAAAGGCTGATATTACCTGAAGTGAATTGTCTACAGGAATAACTTCACCAGTGCTTTCTTATTGTCCCTGTTTAGTATTGCTTCTATGTGCAATTTTCTAAGTTCACCAAATCTAACGCAAGCATTTATTAAATGCATGGCTTGAATAATGACTGCACCACTGGTGCTTTATAAGATCATTTAAAAAGTTTTTTATCTTTTCAAACACATTTTTAGTGACATGAGAAGTGGGAACGTTGAACAAAACTATTTCTGATTTCTTGGCAGCCAATCAAACTAATGTTAGCAGCTAATTAGCTATTTACACTTTTCAATAATTGCCCGTCTTTATCGACCTTATGAGCTAATCTTTGGGGTAAAAAGTGAATGCAAAACATAAGCATTCCTACTAAGCAGGTACAAGGCTAAAGTTATCGTAATCAAACAGTTTTCCTCCACTAATCCCTGTGTTTTGAGTTTCGGAACCATCAAAGCAATTTTTACTGTTAAACAAAAAAACAAATAAACCAAAAAAGCTTTGCAAAAGCTCCTTTATACAGAGAACATTATTTTTGTTGAGAGTTTTACTTTTTCTTGCCATTATTACAAGTCACAGCTCCACATGTTTGACATAAAATTTCACATTACTTAGATGAAACCATTATTTAACTAAAAAACAAACAAAAAAACAAACAAATTAATTAACTAATTCCTGGAAGAGCAAGTGCTTAACACATAACAAAAATAAAGTTTCTTGCAGTTAATTTCTTTTTACACGTACACATACAAGTGTGCTGACTAAAATGCAAACGCAATACATCAGAGGAATTGCATTTGCAAAAAAAAAAAAAAAAGGCTTGAGCTTTCATCATTTCATGGTTTAGACAGCTTTAGGCAACCTTTAACATTCGCTTCAGCATTTCACTTCCCTGTCCTGAGGTAAGCAAGTCTTACATGCACATCTAAAGGGTCTTCTAGGTTAATGTGAGTGAAACTGGCATAAAAAAAGAGAGACATAGAAAAAAAAATGAACAACCTCTGCTGTATTTCCTTCAGTAAGCAGAGGCTACACTGCAGCTGCCAAATCCCAGGATTGGACTTCTTGGATTTGCTGTTGCCTGGTTAATCTCATTACAAGAATAAATTAAAGAGAAAAATTGCTGACAACTTAGATGGAGTCCTGAGGAGGTCATATCAGACAAGACAGAAGCGATGTCTAGTCCCTTCTAATCCCCTAACACAATGCACGCAGTTGAAACCATGCAAATTATGTCAGTTGCATGAACCAAACTTAACTTCTGGAAACATTTGTACATTCCCAATAAGATTTTTATAAAACTATTTCCCACAAAAAATGCTTGAAAACTTGTTTGTTTTTGCACATTTTCTCTAAGTATATCTGATACTATTTGAAAAAAAAAAGAAGCTAATTACTATTTTCCTGATAATGGCAATTTTAAGCCCTTAATTAATTGAATTGGCCTATAGATTCATTACTCACTGCATTGTTAATAGGTTCATGAAGTTTCTTGCTGATGCAATACGATTTTTCATTTTTTACAAAACAGCAACATTACGGTAATTCCTAGCTGCTTATATAATATTATGCACCTATGGTGTTAACTCCTAAACAGCATACATTTATATCTATAGCAAGAATTATAAGAGACAAAACAGAACAAATAGAAGACTGTGATATAAAACAAAAACCCACTGAAATACGAAATGAGATGATGTTATTGACTTACCTTTATGTTAGTAGTATTTGCAGCTGCTGTTGTGGTAGTTCAGATGTAATACAAAAAAACAAAGCAAATTATGGAACAAATATGATTATAAAGTATTTTTAAATATGTGAGCTAGTTTTTATTCTGTTTGTCCTTCAGCATCCAACTTGCAGACTGGAGTAAGCACAATCTGCTGCCAGCAAAGTGTCTTAACTAAAAGAGACCTTTTAAATACCGATTCATTTCATCTCTATTAGCTGGCTTTATCTCCTGCAGTAAGCCCTCCCTGTCCTGACATCACTATGATCTCCCATCCAACCGCCCGCTGCACCTTCAACTGATGTGTAATTACTGAAGCAGCACTGGTCCCTAAGCATGGAGTGCTAAACCTCTTTCAACGTTTACCTCACTAATCCCGTGTTAGCACTTTAGGCCACAGTTAAGACACCTAAATGCTTAGCTTCCTTTTTCAGTGGCAAAATGGCCAGCCCCCTCCTTCCATGCTTTGTGGCACCATGTGGAGAAACTGCGCACTGCTGTTTGTAGACCTCAACAGCTCCACTGAGCAGTCTTGTAATCTCTTTTTTAACACATGTCTAGTTTGGATGTCAGGAGTATTGTGCTCCCCAGGGTGCAAAAGAGCTGACCCAAACATGCTTGGTGGTAATTTGTCAGAAATCCGACTGAATGTTGGCTGGATCATCCTCTCAGACCTCCTAATCTGACAGTTTGTGCTAACCAAGCTTAGAGTAGGGGGCTACACTTTGAATGATGTTTTCTTTAATGCCTAGTGAGGAGCTAGGTGAGCACAGTTGGTGGGCTACAAAGAAAATTAGCCAAACTGCAGACACAACCCGGAGGGCGTGGGGTGGAGGGGGAAACTATGTGTTTCTGATCCCCTCCTCTCAATCTGCAGCTGGTGGAGCCTTCATTATAAATATATATTATATTAAAACGGCCTGCAGCTTTTACATTTCAGATGTTAAACAGTAAACTAATATATTGGATCAAAAGCAGAATTATTGGCAGTGGTAGAGATATTATTATGAATGCCCGTCTCATCTTCAGGACACTTTGCTGCCTTGATTAACCTCAAATCAATTATAAACTAATGTGACATACTACCAGGTCTGTAAAATTAGAGAATAACTTAAATAGAACCTCTCTGACAACACTACGTTTTACAAAAGACATTAGATGTCGACTTGGATGGATGGAACCACTTAGTCTCTACCGGAAAATCCTCAACGAAAATTAATTTGCAATCAACTTGTGACTTCAAGCGGTTGGGTTATGCAGCATGAAAGTAATTTAATTCAGACAGGAAAATCCAGCTCTTAATGCAACAAAATGAATAAATAAAGATTTGGAGATGGCTTATCCAAGAATTAACTTGCATTTTTTTTTCTTTTCTAAATTGATTAATGTACCCCAGGCATCCCCAAAGTCGGTCCTGGAGGGCCGCTGTCCTGCAGGTTTTAGAGGTTTCTCTGCTTTAGCACAGCTGATTCTGATGATTGCAGTTCAGCAAAAGCTTGTTACTTAACTATCAATGTAAATCAGCTGTGCTGGAGCAGGGAAACCTCTAAAACCTGCAGGACAGCGGCCCTCGAGGACCGACTTTGGGGATGCCTGATGTACCCCATTCCCTAAATAAGATTTATCCTACTAAAACTGTCCTTTGTTTTTTCTCTAACTTGGTTCAATCTTAAAATTATTTTCCAAATGAAACAAAAAAACCCCCCCAAAAAAACCAGGAGAATTAAGGGGTGAAATACTTGGTCGGGGTGTTTTGTTAGATTTCTTTTACACTAGGTGATATATTGCTTTGAAACTGACAGACAATTGAGGACCTTATTTAATATGTTATGTTAACATTTCTTTTTTTTTTTTCTTAATTTCGTTTATTTTAGTTCTTTGATAGCTTTTTATTCATCGAAGTTCACTCTAGTGCTGCCTGTTTTTAAAAGGATAGTTTTTTGTTTGTAAAACTCCATAAGGCCGATCTATTAATCATTATGGCACAAAAAGGCTCCTCAATTTATGGGATTACTCACCCCTCAAGTATACATTTTAACAAAACAAATAATTAAGGTCTAATCTTTAAGAGAGAAACATGCCAAACACATCTTGATCACATTTCTTCAGTTCAATCACTGACAAATTTGAAGGATAAAAATATTATCTTCAACATCAACATATTTATAACATTAACAACGTGATCCCAAAAGAGCAGTGTGCTAAAAACGCTCTGTGATGTAGACGATCCACTGAAAACATGAGTCTCTTTAGTTTGGTTAGTTGTTTTTTTGTTATTTCCTTTCCCACTCCTTGTTGTCTCTTTTTAACCCTGATACCTACTTGCTTTTATTTTAAAGAAAGTGGGTTGAATGACAGCCCAGTCAAGGAGAAAAAAAAAAAGCTGTAAAAGGCATTCAGAAAGTCTGGAGACATACTGATCAATAACTCTTTGAAAGTTGAGAACAGCATATGGCTCCTGGATGACACAGTGATGATGAAGAGATTAAAGGGTACGCATAGCTACTACTAAACCACAGTAGTGTAAATAGCCAAAATCAGATACTGACATAAACTTTATAAAAAGGCACATACGCTTTTTTCCTATAGCCTGATGTTATATTAGAATAAGCTTTTTATCTTTAAGTTATGGTAACAAAAAATCCCTATCTGCTATATACCTGAATAAGGAGAGTTGTTTCGTATTTCTATTTTTTGCAGTACTTGGGTTTTAAAAGGAATTGGCTATACACAGATGATGCTTTCATGTTTTTACAAGCTTTTAATAGTTTAATAAATATCATGAGTAAGATGGAGGCACACATGTGGAGGTGTATTGGGAAAGCAAAAACACCTCAAATAATGGCGTTCAATTCCATAAATTAACTCTTTCCTTTTTTGATGTGAAGTAATCAAAAGAAATCAGCCAAGACATTGGAAAGAGAGATCTACACCTTCAAAAATATAGTTCATCCTTTGACACAATTTCTTAAAGCCTGAACAGGCAGCATTAATATGTTCACACAATGATAGCAGTGGGAATCCCAGGCTCAGGGATTTTTTTTTTGCCTTATATCTTTTTGTAGTGGCTGAGCTTAAGAGGTGTGTGGTAAAAACTGCAAGTGCCAGCAAATACAATTTTATATGTTTCACCAGAAGTTTTGACTCATTATATTAATGTAGTTATTTATTATAAACCTATTTTAGCACAATATATATTTATTTACACGTATAAATAAACATACATTTCTTTTTTTATGGTTGTATTCTGACAGGGCTTTAAGAGAAGAGATCATTAGTTGGACATTTGTCGGCCTGTGGGGATTCTTCTATCACTGACTCCACTGTCTGCAGCTTCTACTTGATCTATGTGCTTATGTGGTCACTTTAGAAAACAATATTTAAGCATTGAATTGAAGCTGGGTAAAAATTGAAAAAAGGGGCTAATGTTCATCTTAAAATTTTTATTAAAAGATTGAAGGCTTACAAGCCAATTTTAGTACAACTAGTGCACCTAATAAAACCGATGGCATAATGAGTAGATAACATTATTTGGAAGTATTGGAGGAACATCTCAAGAGATCAAGAAGATATTGTTAGCACATATCGCTTCGGTACATATGGCCAGATGGACAACATTATGGAAAATAAATGTTGGTGAAAGCTACTGCAATGTTTTGACGTGGCTGTCATGAGGCTCGCACCAGAGTGATCCGCTCCAGAAACTAGACTGTACAGTAAAACTCATGGATGGACGGATGGGACGATCAAATTGATTCACAGCAGCCAAATTACCAGAACACATATGGCTTGTTGGAACATCATCAAACTGACCTTTGAGGTTGTTTAGCAGGATAACATGTTTATAGTAAATATCTCAGGTCCTTGAAGTGGGATATGAGCTGGTCCTTTAGTGGATCATCAGATTATGCTTCCAGCTTTATAATTTAGATGACAAGTACACCTTGAAACTCATCCCTAAACACTTGAATGTGTTTGATTGAATGCAAGTCCATCTTGTTTTGTTAACAAAGTATAGTACAGTTAGAGATTCAGTCAGTCAGTATTTATTCTATTCTATTCTATTCCATTATATTTAATTACATACTATATTGGACAGATAGTTGGCGCCTGTATTTTTTACAAACTTTTGCTAGAGCTCTACATTGTTTTAATTATTATCATTATTATGAAGCATTCTATTTTCTTTGTCAATATTACCCATTGTAAAGTAGGTTGTGGTTTGAAAACGAAAAAGTTGGTAAATATTTCGCATTAACTCACTCTACTGAACTGTTTTCAACACTGCAGTATTTGAACACCCTCTTATTTTGCAAATTCTCCCACTTAGAAATCATGGAGGGGTCTGAAATTGTCATTGTAGGTGCATGTCCACTGTGAGAGACATAACCCCCCCCGAAGAAAGATCCAGAAATCACAAGGTATGATTTTTTAGCTATTTATTTGAATGATATGTTAGGTCTGACACATTGAACACAGACGCACTTAAAGTCAGATCAGCCCAACAGCGCGGGAACTTCTGACCCCAAGTAAATAAAGGAAAATACGCTACAGGTTATAGATGCATTGGCAACGAACTACTGAAGTGTCTTTCTGCTTATCAAACAAAGTTATAGTACGGTACTAAAAGGTCAAAAACAAAATGTCACTTTATTAAAAGGTACATTTAATACCTGCTTTAAGATTGTTGTTTTCTAAAGTATATTTTAGCCAGATAAGAAAATCTATTCTATTTTGTTAAATAGAACTTTAGATATTCTTATCTACACATAACTTGAAGAATGTACCAATCTGTGTGAAAGCCTTTCTCCCATCAAATATCTCCTCTGTTTTTGCTTTCTCAAATGTTAAAATGATTAAACTCATTTTACTGTTATAAAAATAACCTGAATAAACACACATGGCAGATGTTAAGAGGGATTTTGTTTTAAAAGAAAAAACTGTTATCTTAATTGACATGACAATGAATAACGAATAAACAAGCTGAAAGGTACTGAAACTCGAAATGGATTTTAAAAGAGTATTATTATATATTTCTATTAGATTTTACTATAAGTTTACTACTGTTTTTATTTAATTTGAAATGTTAAACCTCTTCTCCTTCTTCGTCCTAGTAGATAATTCAAGAAGCCATTCAAATTTTGTCTATAACAATATGTTCATGTCCATGTTTATAGAGCATGAGGTGTTCATGAAAATTAAAAACATCTTTATAGAGGAGTTATGGCCTATTCCTGTTGTATGAGAAAGGTTTCTGTGTTGTTTTTAGTCAGGAATGTTTGTTCCTTTGAATTCCTATGGATGGATTATTCCCTGTCTCTTTCTTATTATTGAATTATGAACACCAGTTTTGAAGGAAGTAAGTGGTTTTCAAACCTGGTCCTGGTTTTAAATGCTGCTACAGTCCATCTGCATCACATGATTGGACCCCCTCGTCCATAGCCACCTGGGGCTGCAGGGCCCTGCTAATCACCCATTTGTTTGTCAGGTATGTGGAGGCAGGGATATACCTAAAATATGCAGGACAGCTGGGTTTGAGGACAGAGTTTGAAAACCCCTGATTTAGATGTTGTTTAGAGGTCCTTTATGGTCTCCTTGTCACTGTGCTCTGGAAGTAACTTTTAGAGGCAACCCATGCTTAGGAAAGGGCCCACTGTAATATGTTTAATCCGTTTGCGGATAATTGGTGATTCTGAATCTGTTCCTAGATGTCTTCATATCATTTTAAAATTAATTTATAATTCAGCCTACTTCAAGTTGTTAGATAGATTCTGTTTAATCAATTTATTGATTCTTAAGTTTAGCCTTACACACAAAAAAATACTTATATACTATATTATCACTCTGTATAATCAAGCTAAAAGATATATTAATTTCAACTTTTTAAACTAAATTGATGAAATAAAAAATAATGGTAATTTTCTAATTTGCTGACATGCTTCCTAATATGGATATTCTGATGTAAAGTAGATTTTTACTGAAAAAAGCAGAGCGGAAATCACAAATAACAGACTTAGGAATTAGGAGAACAGGGCTTTAGGACATCTAAACCGCTAATTTAAGAATCTCTCAGGTGTAAGCTTTTTAAAAGGGATTTCAGTCCGTGTTGTTTGCACCCAGCATTATGGTGTCACAGTGAGGCGAAGGGATCAGAGGCGGTTTAACCTCAACAAACAGCCACGGCTATAAATTCTCTCGGGGTAAGAGGAGACAACGTCCATCTTCTAATTACAGCAGCAGTCTGGTGTCCGGATCAAGTGCATTTCCTGCCACTATCAAATGATGACCTGTTCCTGAGCTGTAATCCCTCTAATTTGGAAGCATTATGTCTTTCACGCCTTCGGGGGAGATCTTGTTTAGGAATTGGTTATGGTGATATTATGGGTGGAAGATTTTTTAGGCATTAGATTATTGAAGTCAGTTTCATTACAAAAAGATTGAAAATTCTGTTTTCATCAAAGGGAACCCATGCAGAAAAATAATTGACTAAGAAAATAAAAGAGTAAGAAAAAAGAAATATTTAAACTGAAAATTGTTAAACACATGACTATTATGTAAAGTGGTCTATACACATCATTAATAACATAGAAAATGCTCACAGGTAAAACCCTTTTCAGTACAAATGCTGCTATATGCAATTTAAATTGTTAAACTGTATTTTGATTATACATTTTAAAATAAAGCTCCCTGCATAAAGATGGAGTATAAAAAACAAAAAACAAAACAAAAACAAATTTACAAGCCCTGGTTTTCAGCATCTCTGTCCTAAATTCACAGTTTATCAGGAGGACAGCACCAGTAGTCACTAGATTCTGTTGGAGCACATAATCCAAAGTGCTGGGTCATTTATCAATAACGGTACATTTTTATTAACCTTTTTAAATTGTTTAACTCATTCACTCTGCAAGTATTCAAATCTTGTTTTAGGATTGTTAAAAAAATAAAATTCAAATCCCAAATCTATAATCTTATGAACTCAAAAACCAAAACACTACCTTTTAAAATGTACTAGAAATGTAGTCTATGGAAAAAGTGTAAATAAAGTTCATATTTCAAGTTTTTTTTAAATTCTAAAACACTTTATAATACTAATATTTGTGATCAGCTTTCATTAAAGGTAACTAATATCTGTTGTAATACAGAACTTAATTGATTGAACAATTACTTACTTACCTAAAGGATCTATAATTCTCTCTATGGTTTATAGAAGTCTATATTTGCAGGTTTATTTGTAAATATGTATATATATATATATATATATATATATATATATATATATACAGATAGATATATAGATATATATGTGTGTGTTTATACATATATATATATATATATATATATATATATATATATATATATATATATATATATATATAATTGATATTGAGTTGAACACAGGTTCCTTTTTTCACAGGCCTATTCTTATTAAAAATGAAAGATTCTTTTTAATTAAAATGTTACAAAAGGCCCTTAGATGAATGTACATTTATTGTTTTTAAATACATCAAAATTGGATGAGCAACCTAAAAAAACCAAACAGATAATGTTAACCAAGTCAGTAGAAGGACACTAACACGGATTGCATAATGCACACAAGGTCCCACACGTGACCTCACAAAACATTTCTGTAATCTATACCTTCCAGTTAATGTAACCTAAAACATATTTGTTTGGCAGCCAAGGTAACCAAGGTAGCCAATATCTTTACATGAACAGGTGCCAAAAATCTCACACCTTTAAAAAAACAAATGTGACATGCAAATCAGACCAAGGTGAAGCAGAGGACCTTTACTATAAATACAGCAGGGCAACGATGAGAGTCACTGCTACCCACTAAAACAGGTAAGAAATGATTGGTATCTTTTGTTCTGGCTTTTCTTATTTTGTGCACATGTAAAGAAGCTATTTGGAACAAAATAGATTACATTGAATATATTCTACTTTCTTAAAGGGTTTGGAGAAAAATGGATTTCATCCAGGTGTTTTCCTTCACTCTGCTGTCCGTTCTGGCAGCCAACGCTCAGATCTTCAGTCCTGGCAGATGTCCCCAAGCTGCTGTTCAGCAGCAGTTTGATGCTGCGAGGGTGAATAGCACAGCACAACATCAGAGAACTTCTAGATTATCAAGGCTTGTCTGCTGAACATGGAGCTGCAGGAACCTTATTTTTATGACTATACTTGTTTTTGCAGTATCTTGGTAAATGGTATGAAATCCAGAGGTTGCCCCACACGTTTCAGACAGGCCAGTGCAGCACTGCCACCTACAGTCTGCAGAGTCCTGGTGTTGTTGGAGTCCTAAACAGGGAGCTGCTGTGAGATTCATTTACTCTCATTTACTGAATCGCATTTATTCAAACTGATTGAAGTTATAGATTAACTCTTTCCTTTTATGTTTCAGTGCGAATGAGACCATTAATGAAATCATTGGGACTGCCAAACCTGACCCAGCTGAGCCTGCCAAACTGCTGGTCTACTTCTTTGAGAGTACAGATCTTCATATAATTTTCACACTCACCCACTGTTTTAAATTTATTTAAGATGTGATTTTAGTTATGCTCCAGTTCAAGCTTCACTTATCTGCTGTGTTTACTTCTCCAGACTCTCCCCCTGCTCCATACTGGGTTCTGTCCACAGACTATGATAACTACGCCCTGGTCTACAGCTGCACCGACCTACTTATGTTGCACGCTGACTTCGTCTGGATCCTGAGCAGGCAGCCCACTCTGCCTGACGATACCCTGGAGGAGCTTCACAGCATCCTGCGGTCCCTCAATGTCAGTGTAGACAAGCTGCTGTACACCAACCAGGATCCAGTGTCATGTAGTGTCATGAACCAGTAAAATAATATCATGCATTTTGTGTTTTTAATTTACACTCTTTATTTTGAGCTTAAATTAATAAACATATGTGCTGAAAAAAAAAACAAGATGGCATCTGTGATGTTTTTTTTTTTTTTTTTTCCTAATGGAAAGGATTCTCCCACCATTCTCACTCTCTGCAAATATTCAGTTGTTGAACTCTAATGAAATTTTGTTGTTAAATATATACATAAATTCGCCTAAATCTTTAAATAAGAGGCACTGAATTTTTTTTTAATTATTATTATTATTTTTTAATTTTGACAATGCTTATAATCGTTTACTCAGAACATTGAAAAAGGGCAGAACATTTATTAATTGATGTTAAATTTGCACAGTAAAGCATTTTGGATTACTAAACAAGAGATTGATAGAGGATTCAAGTAAATTAAATTTCAATTCAGTTTATTTATATAACCCTAATAACCCTTATGTTGGGTTATGAATAAAAAAAATTAATAAATAAGTTTGTCTTGAGTTCTAATTCAAATTTTATAGAAAAGTAGGTAGTTTTAACTTAAATTAAGTCGAAAATATGTAAAATTCCTAAATTATAACTTTATATTAATCTAATAATAATTAAACTGATCCGCACATGATGCACAAATTATTGTACTGCCTGCATGCTCTCACTTGCATTAAAAAAACACCACCTTGCAAAGTCTAAAATCTGGGATAATTTATCTGACTCGCGGGCATCCCTGAACAACTATCTATATCAGGGAGACTCCTGGTACTTCCGGGAGACTTGGGATGTCTGCAGATCATACAGTAAATTTGGTTCGTTAAGCTGGAGTCTGGCTTCCTGGGCCTCCTTCCTGCTTCTGTGCTCCACGTCGCCCAACTGTTGGTATCTCCACATCTGTTAAAGGAGAAGTCTGCTCTGTTAAATCTGGCGGTTCCTGCCCAAAGGAAGACTCTGAAAAGGTTAGAATGGAGGTAGATTGGTCTTAATTTTACAGAAATATACATATGTGATTCATACATGCACAGGACAAGATCCACACATGCATGTATTTGTGAAAATTAAGACTAATCTAACTCCATAGGTTTGTGGCTTTTGTTGGTTTCATGCATTTCATTATTGAACTCCTTGAAGCCACTAACCTACATCTCCATCTATAGTTATCCCTGGTCCTTGGTGGATGCGCTCCTGAGTTCAGATAAACTATTTAAATGCTGTCTCTCCAGCTGAAAATGTGGGTCTTCTGTCTGGTTTGTTACAGACTGGAGTTCAAGGAGACCTACAGACAGAAAAACAGATACAAAAGGTGACTGGACACACAGCCAGGCAGATGAGCGCCAAGCCAGCTCCCATGTCAGAGGCTGAAGGAGAGCACATACATTTAGTCACAGTCAGAGAAACAGAACTACACTGAAAAACAGGCCAAGCTCCAACAGTTATAAACATCTATTAGTGTAAATGTCCTTACACTGTAAATGTTGTGTATTTTTGGATATTCTATTGTTTTTCAGCTGTTCTGCTGCCATCAACACAGCTGAAAGTCAGAAAAGTCAGGAATGGAGCAACTCCAAAATATCTTACTTCCAGTCAGAAGAAAAACTTAAAGATTACTTTAAACAAAAATAAGACATGAAGGTAAATAATGACTATGGCACTATGAGAAGTTGCTGTTGTTGTCTTGTAATCTGAAAGATAATGGTGCAATTTCACCATCCTACTGTCAGAACTCCAAGTTGCACACTAATCTGCTTGTTGGTGCCTATATGACTGTGTTGATTGAAGTTGGGAAGGGGGGAATCCAGCCATGACCACCCCTAGCCAATCACTGCCCATCATCTAGCCAGATTGTTGTTCCCATGTGAATTTAATTCACCACCTCTGGAACAAGCAGTTCTCCTCTCAACCAGACGGTGGCAGCAATGATACCATCATATGGTATCACAAGTTAGTATTTATACCAAAATCTGACAAAAAAAAACTATTCACATACTACAAATAATGAAGATTAATCTAGAACTAATGCTCTTAAGTATGGTTTATTATGTTTTATGGTGGGGAGTCTGTCTCTGCAGTCATTTAGGGGTCTGCTATATAACAAAATTTAAAGAACATTTCAACCCATTTAATGCATCTATCAGTAGCTGCTGGTGGCTGTCTAAATAGTAGCAGCAGGTAACTTCCATTGTCTTCTTGCTTATCAATTTAGAATGGTTACAGATTTGGAGTTAGAGCAGCATACCAGCATAGCAGCAGGTAGTGACATTTGTTGGGTTACTTTGTTATTGTCATGATGGGTTCTCAAATGGAGACCCAGTTATGCAGAACACCACAAGGCGGACACGAGGATAAAAGTTTAACAGTTTATTTAAGCACAAACACAGAGTGTACTGGAATCTGGTTCGGGCCTGGGTCCTGGTTTCACTGGAGTCTGCGTGAGAGACAGAGCTGTTATGTACTGCTGGCAGGGTTTGGTTTTCAAGTGAGCTCAGATAGTACCTTGAGGGTTCTTGAGTTATTCTCCTTGGGGGAGTTTTCTGTTGGTTCTGGAGAAGAGTTTATCAGCTGCTTCAGCATCTCACGTCTAGCTCGAACAGACCTAGGTTTGGTTTTTCCAGCTCTAGTCCTGAGCTGCTTGGGGGTTCTCAGAAAGTCTTCAGGGTTTGGCTCAGAGGGTCGGCTCGGCAGGTTAGCTCTCCTAGAGCTTTCACGGAGGAGACTCGGGTTTCCTGGGAACACAGAGAGAGAAGTTAGAATCCAATCTGGATTCAAAGTCATGGAGATTCACAAGGAGCAAGGCTTTAGCGCTGACCAACTGGAACAACACTGCGGCGTTGAGGCAAGGTCTGAAGACAGCTTAAGTAGTGGATCCTCTGATGGTCTTGATGAGCTGCACCTGTGCAGGAGGCTCCCTCAGAGGATCCACGGCGGACTCTGCTGGAGAAAGATGGGATTTTCTCCAGCTCCCAACAGTACCCCCCCCCTCAACGACCGCCCCTTGGCGGTCCGGAGGAAGTGGAAGGACAGGAACGCTCGTACTCCTCTATGAGTGCAGGGTCGAGGATGTACGAGCCTGGGACCCACTGACGATCTTCAGGTCCGTAGCCCTCCCAGTCGACGAGGTACTGCCATCCGCGACCTCGTCGACGGGAGTCCACGATGCGGCGCACCGTGAAGGCCGGATGGCCATCGACCTCCAGGGCGGGTGGTGGGGAGTCGGACGGTGGGCACAGGGGGCTCGAGGAAACAGGTTTGATCTGGGAAACATGGAAAGTGGGATGGATACGGAGGGACTGGGGAAGTTGCAGACGAACAGAGGAGGGGTTGATGATGCGAGAAACTCATTACTGAAGGTAAGGGGGATGTCTCGAGTGGAGAGCCAAACTTCTTGGCCCACAGAATACTCAGGGGCGGGGCGTCTCTTAGCGTCAGCGAAACGCTTGACTGACTCGGTTGACTGGTTAAGTGTGGCGATTGACTCCAATCCACGGGGTTGTTGGAAGTGAGACAGCGGAGGGTGGATTCCAGTTGCTGGTTCATGCGTTCTGTCTGGCCCGTTTGATTGAGGATGGTAACCTGAAGTGAGAGATGGTTTGCAGCCGAGAGCAGAACAGAAAGCCTTCCATACCTGCGAGATGAATTGTGGACCTCTGTCCGATAGAATCTCCTGGGGAATGCCATGAAGCCGGAAAACATGTTTTATTAACAGCTGGGCTGTCTGGAAGGCCGTGGGAAGTTTCCTGAGGGGAACCAGATGGCAGGACTTCGAGAAACGATCAACAATGGTGAAAATAGTGGACATACCTCGGGAGACAGGGAGGCCGGTGACAAAATCTATAGCTATATGAGACCATGGACGCGAGGGAACAGGAAGTGGTTGAAGCAGGCCAGAAGGAGGTTGGTGTGAGGCTTTGTTGCGGGCACAGGTGGGGCAAGGCAACACATACTCCTTAACGTCTCTGTGGAGTTTGGGCCACCAGAAGCGCCTGGAGATGAGAGCTATAGTCCTACTCACTCCTGGATGAGCGGTGAATTTGGCGGCGTGCATCCACTGGATGAGACGGGACCTGACTGAAGATGGGACATATGTACGGTTAGGCGGACCGGTACCTGGGTCTGGTTCTGTGGCTAGGGCAGAATTGATGAGGTCCGATATCTCCCAGTTGACCACTCCTATGGTACACGAAGCTGGGAGGATGGGTTCAGGTGTCTCAGGATGATCGACGGAGTAGAGACGAGAGAGAGAATCGGGCTTCACGTTCTTGGATCCGGGTCTGTAGGAAATGATAAGGTTGAAACGTGAGAAGAAGATTGACCACCTGGATTGGCGAGGATTTGCCTGTTTAGTTGACTGGATGTGAGCCAGATTCTTGTGGTCTGTCCACACGAGAACTGGATGCTCAGCTCCCTCCAGCCAATGCCTCCATTCTTCCAACGCCAGTTTAATAGCCAGGAGCTCACGGTCGCCCACGTCATAGTTCTGTTCAGCTGAAGAAAGCCTACGGGAGAAGAAAGCACAGGGGTGTATCTTCTGATCAGAGTCGAGCCTTTGGGAGAGAACCGCTCCAACTCCGGAATCAGAAGCATCCACCTCTAGGATGAACTGATTAGCTGGATCAGGTTGAATTAGAACAGGAGCTCTGGAAAACAAGGATTTTAGTTTTTCAAATGCTGCTTGAGCCTCGGGGGTCCACTGAAAGGTTCGTTTGATGGAGGTAAGAGAGGTTAAAGGAAGGGCGGTTTGACTGTAGTTTCTTATGAATCGACGATAGAAGTTAGCGAATCCTAAAAACCTCTGTAGCTGTTTTCGGTTTTCAGAGACTGGCCAGTCTAAAACAGCTTTGATCTTATCCTCAGAAGGTTTTACCTGGCCACCCTCGAGCACAAACCCCAAAAAGGTGACTGACGGTTGATGGAATTCGCACTTTTCGGCTTTCACGAACAGCTTATTCTCCAGTAGTCTCTGTAAGACAAGGCGAACATGTCTCTTGTGTTCATTGAGGTCCTTGGAATAAATGAGAATGTCATCAATGTACACAAAAACAAACACGTTGAGGAAATCTCTGAGAACATCGTTTACTAGGGCCTGGAA